ATTACAGTTACATAAAGCAGTAACTCTAGCAGACTCAAATAATGCACCATTAAATTTACATTCACAAAATATGGACACGACACAACATATAAATAGCATAGACACCATTAAGCAATCGTGGGTGCAAAAGGCACTCCATGGCAGACATCCCTTTGACCTGGCCCAGGATTTTGTTGACAAAACTGTGTCAAACAGCTGGTTAGCTCAGGGATGCCTCTTTGGAGAGACGGAAGAATTCATGATTGCCATACATCAGTGTTTCTCAACCTGTAGGTCGCAACCCCCAGGTGCGTCGCAAAGCCATACATGGGGGGTCGCAGGTAAAAGAAAAAGACAAGTGTTTGTAGGTCCTACACTACAATAAAAAAACTACAATTTCAGTGAGAAGCCTGTGCTTGTTTATTTTACAGTATAATTAGTTTTTTGATCGATATTTAAATCTCAACAGAAAGAAAATTAAATACGTACCGGTAGTTTTTTTAAAATCACTGACATAGTTTTAATATGGCCGTGGGGGTCGTCAGAATTTTTTAACTTGTAAAGGGGTCGCGTATTCAAGAAGGTTGAAAAACACTGCCATACTGGATCAGGTCATAAATACTAAAAACTACAGAAAACACATACTCAAAGATACAATAATCACAAACGACACATGCAGAAAATGTCACATCATGCTAGAAACCATACAACACATTACTTCTGGTTGCAACCTCTTGGCACAGACAAATAATTTACATAGACATAATCAAGTAGCAAATACATCAAGAGCTTGCAAAGAAACACAAATTATTAGACATCCACAAACCATACTACAAATACATTCAACAGACAGTATTGGAAAATAACATGCACAAAATGTACTTCAACAGCCATAATCACTGATAAAACAATTTACCACAACAGACCAGACATCACACTTATTGACAAACACAATAAAATCACATACATTATAGACATCCATTCCAAACACTCACAAAACACGTTCACTGAAAAAGTCAGAAAGTACACAGAACTCGCCCAGGAAATAAGGCATCTGTGGAGGATGGATAGGGTGCCTACTGTACCTGTCGTTTTCTTTTCTATAGGTGTCATACCATACACAAAAGCCTGGGAACATTACAATTGAATAGAAATACATACATCACACTACAGAAGGCCACTATATTGAATACATGTCATATTGTTAGGAAATTCCTGAATACAGACACAGACTGACATACTTATTTAATTTTTGTCTTGTTTTGAAGTTACTATGCCTTCACTCTGGTACACAGCCATCAGTGCCAACCGAGTGTAACTCACAAAACTCAACATAATAATAATAATAATATGTTTATGGCATTATGAAGTTCTATTAATTGTATCATATAATATGTTTTTGAGGGGAATAACATTTTGGTGTGCCATGTTGAGTCATAAGTGTGCCACAAGTAGAAAAAGGTTGCGGAACACTGCCATAGAACATAGATCGTGGCATTTCTAAATTTCAGAATAAACGATATATTTTAAACTATATTAAAACTATATTATAATTAAATTTTATAATATAAAATTGAAAAAACATTTTTAAGTAGGCTATATCATCTATATTTATAGTTTTTAGAACTGTATAAAAGTTGGATTAAAAGGAACAATTTTTAGCACTTTATATTTAATTAATTGTGAATTAATTGCAAATTATATTAGATATGAGCATAAAAATTTTGGAAGGAAAAATCAACCTGAAATGAATCTTGAACCTATTTTGAGCTGCTTTTTTTAGAATTTTCCAAATTATTTAATTAAAATTCAAAATGAATTTCTAATTATTAATCTTAGGCATTTGAGCTGCCATCTTGTCCTATTTTTTGGCAAAATTCCATTATTTAATTGATGAATAATTAGCTTAATTTTAGCCTGAAAATAATTTGGCCTTGAGATATGTGTGACTGTTAAATTGGATTATAGACAAACTTTGGGCATTTTAACCTAATATTCTGGAATGTCAAAGATAATTCAAGCCCTTAATGTTACATATCCAATGTTACAGAGTTCAAATTAATAGGATATTAGTAACACACCAATATGTAATACTGATAATAAAAGTAATAAACTGTCCTAAACTGTTAATAGTTTCAGAAATAATCACTAACTTATGTAATTAAATGTGTTGCAAATGTGTAACTACAAATATTTTTGATAATTCACATACATATACATATTGCTTTTAAGTGTATAGAACAAAATGGAAAAAAGCATTTAAATTTAAAAGCAGTAAATATTGCATATTTGGTTTTTTTACATATGATTTTTTTCACTTACTCCAAGGGCTTTGCCTACTTTTTCCCAATATACCCTGTTTCCCCGAAAATAAGAGTGTCTTATATTAATTTTTGCTCTCAAAGATGCGTTGAATCTTATTTTCAGGGGATGTCTTATTTTTCCATGAAGAAGAATTCACATTTATTTTTGAACAAAAAAATTCCCAAGTCTAACTTAAACAAGAGTGACGTAAATCCAGTTGTGTCGAACTGAACTTACGAAGTTCCCGTGCTGGAGTGGACTTCCCACTCTCGCTTCAACTTAACCTTTTCATAGCATCGACATTGGGGTCGATGACAAATTAGTGCTTACTGAACCGTAGCACTATGCAAATGTGATGTGGCATGATTCCCGGCCAACCAATTAGCAATCCCCAGCCGTAACATTATGCAAATCTGTGATTCCCAAGCCATAGTCTTATGCAAATCATGCTGTGTGGCGTGATTGTCTGCTGACCAATCAATGGCTGTACTTTCAAAAAGCCAACAGCCACTTTCAACCATCTGTCGATGACCATTACAACTAAAAAAAAAAGTTTGCGAGGTCTTACTTTCGGGGAGAGGTCTTATATTTCGCAATTCAGCAAACCTCTGCTAGGTCTTATTTTCAGAGGATGTCTTATTTTTGGGGAAACACAGTAGGGGAGATATAGACTATTCATAACAAAATTTTGTGACTCAACTCCCTGCGAGAGATAAACCCTGCTGAGCCAAATCCTCATTCCTTTCCTTCTCTTTGCATAATCTATTGTGGAGTGGGTGGCCCAGCCCTCCCACCCCTGCTTGCTTGCTTGCTTGCTTGCTTGCTTGCTTGCTTGCTTGCTTGCTTGCTTGCTTGCTTGCCCCTCAACCAACACTTGTTTTGACTTCACTCAATTGTCCCATGGTTTTCATCATGGCATTCCCAATATAAACTATTCAGAAAAAATTTTTGACAAGGCATTGATTCCTGCTGCTGTCATTTCTTTTTTTTTTTCCGTGATGGAAGAGAGTGTCCTGATGATTTTAAGCTAAATATTTTATATACAGAGTAGATGTATATAGACATAAGTTATCTATCATTCCAATTAATATTTTCTTCTGTAATATACTTTTGTTGTACTTCAGTCATAAAGCTTTTCATCTTGCAATGAATCTTTCTCTCTCTCTTTTTCAATTTACTTTTATAAGATGTACTGTACATTAATAACAATTTAAATTAATGAGGGTATGGAGTAAGTCAGTTGCTACTATGGAAACACACCTTTATTCTCATACTTGCATGATTATTACATAAGTTCCTTAGTGCACCCCAAAAAACTACAAGTGGTAATTAAAGTGCCCTGCAATGTATAAATGTAAAATAATATTTTTGTTTGTTTACATTAACTGCTATTTAACCACATTTGATCTATAAATTTAAAAAATAAAATATATAAAAGTATTTGTAGTCTAAAGTTTTTAGTATACCTTGTTTTAGGAGTAGAGGTTACTTTTCTGGCTATCAAAGTCATCAGGATACCATGACCACCCATCCAATTCCTGGTTTAAAGCAGAGCAAGACTTTCCAGCCTAACCTGTTCGGGGCAAACTAAGGATTTCCTATGTTTCAACAGAAATTATATTTGATTTTTTGTTCAGTGTTGTTACTGATTAGTTTGGTTCTGGTCACTTTTGTAAACATCTGTACTGACTGAAATTCTTTTCCTCAGTCTTTTGCAGATCTCCTGAGGAGACTTTTCTGCATCTCATTTGTGAATATGCACATCTTTGCTCAGGTGGACTTGTTCATCTGGGGTTTTTTTTTTTTTTTTTTTTTGAGCCCTGGTTAGGTCCTTCAACTTTCCTTCAGAGGTCTTTTTTAAAGAGATTAGACTTCTCTTGTGGAATGTGCAATGGACTTCTTAGGTCAGGGTGCATTTGACCTATCTGTACAATAAACAAACAACAATAATCAATTATTTGAAATCTTTAAACACTGGACTGAACACAAAATTTCAAGAAAAGATAAGGAAAGTTTGAATCAATATATAACAGACTCTCATTCTGAATAGTGGAGGATGGATCCAATGTCTCTGATATAGATCACTCACGAAAAAATCCTGAGATCTCAGGTTCCAGATTACAGGCTGATGCCTTTATCATCTTGTTGTGTTCACAAATCTGTAATCAGGTTATAATTTCTGTAATCTTCTATTCCTGTATCTTATGTTGTCAAATGGTCTTTGATCAAAAAAATTAAGTTTCTACAAAAGCATGTTTATTGTTACCAGAATGCTTTATAGAATCATAAAGTATTTTGATAACAACTGTTCTGTAAGTGGTTTGAGTGTTTGTGGATTCACTGATTTCAAATACATATTAAAATAGCAAATCTATCCTCAAGTTGGTTATAAGAAGTTTCATTCTCAAATCATTTATTTCAATTTGTTATATTATTAATAGAAATTGAAAATAATTTTCATGGAAATTAATTTGAATAGTGAAAATCAAATGAATTGTGAGAAATTTCAACACATAACTACAAAATAAGTTATATTTAGAATAAAACTCCGAATCTTATTGATTTTATTTTGTGATATCAAAATAAATTCTGTGTGTGTTTGTGAAAGACAAATTATTTATTACAAAAAAATGTTGGATGATAATATAAAAATTTGTTAATTCAGTCTAAAAGTTTGTTTCTATAGTCATTCAAGTATAACATTTTATCTAATTTAGGGTGGTGCAGGTCTTGGTTTTAGTATTGCAGGAGGTACTGATAATCCACATGTTGGTGATGATCCTAGTATTTATATTACCAAGTTAATATCTGGAGGAGCAGCAGCTGCTGATGGTCGCTTACAGTAAGTATTAATTAATTTTTTAATTTATATAAATGAAATAGTTTTTTTTATTTAAATATTCTTATTAGTGATTTAAAAAATTTTAATCTACAGTTTGAAACATGTTTCAAAGTTTTATTTTAATATACAGATGTATATTAATTGCTATTTTCTTAGTTTACTAAATGTTTAATTAGAATATGGAAAATGGACTTGCATCACTTTCATAATGAATGATTATGCAAATTTGTTTTACCATCACATTTTCAATTGATCAAAGTAGATGGATTTTTAAAAATATAAACTGTAAATTGCATTTAACTTAAAACTTTACACTAAATTATATTTAAATTATTGTTTTCTCAATTTTTTTCGAAAATGGACTTACACCACTTTCATAATAAACAATCCATATGTATGTATCTGTATCCAGATAATATGGCATTTTAAAAAAGCATATTGCCATGTGTAGATAACTTTAACGATTAGATAATTTGGAAAAATTTGGATTAATATAGTTTTATTGCTCTATATTATGCAGTAGGCAATATTATAGTTTTAATCAATTTATATTTCTGAAGATATGAAACCTACATTTGCAATAAAGCATTGTTATATTGGTGTTTACATATATTTAAATGCTAATAATAATAAAAAAATTTGCACAAAATTACAATAGTAAAAATTAACTTTTTATAATTTGTGTTAAACTATGAGGAGGCATTTCACTTTAGAAATTGTTAAAAGACATTGCAATCTAAATGCATATTATTCTAATTGTCTTCATTTGTAGCCTGAATAAAACATTGTCATTTATTTTTATAAAAAAAATTATATTTAAAATGTTTTAGAATACAGTAGAGCATCAGTTTTACAAAATAATCAGGACAGTGCAATTTCAGATAACTAATCACTCTTGGTATGGAAAGAATAAAATGTATTAAAGTAAAAACATTCATTTTATCGGGGGTTTATAAAATTCCATTAAAGCATACAATATCAGGGGAGGAAATTACAGTAGAGCGTTGATTTTCCGAAAGTCGGCAATTTAAATTTTCCGAAAGAATTCCAGTCGGCAAATTTAAATTTTCGCCAGTGCTATAGCGCTTCAATCTTTGGCTATGTCTTGGGCTACTCAAATATTTTACGTTTTTGATACTAAATTAACATCTGAAGTATAATTTTTTATTGTTTTTATATTTTTCAATATATTTATTTTGTTTGTACAAAATAAAAAAATAATTTTTAACGATACAATAGTCTTCGTTAGGCTTAACATCGGCAAAAATTCAACACAAAGCGACACGCAACGGAGAAAAATTTCAACATCGGATACGTTAAACTATTTTTTCGTACATAAATCGGTTATCCGAAATATCAGTTATACGAACAACCCCAGTCCCCAATTGATTCGGAAAATCGACGCTCTACTGTATCTATATTGGAACTACCACCAGAATGATACGGTCCTGCATCTTCGAACATCAAGAGGACATTAGAAATAACAGACCAGCTACAGAATTAGCGAAAAAGGTTCTAGACCAAGATTATCTTCCACTTTGGAACCACATTAAATATTTAAGCATTGCAAAGATCGTAGGTAAATATTCATATGGGAGAACCTTTACATATCTGCTGCTTTGCCATGTAATGCGCCGACATTGGAAATACCACAGCTATGGATAACTTTATTTAAACAATCCAAGTTATAATTTTTTGATCTGATTTTATTCTATGTTTTGGGGAGTTCAAGTTATTACAGCACATTTCTTTAAAAATATTTATTTATTCAATTTTTATTGTTTAGTTCTATATTCCAACCACATGCATTACATAATTTGAAAAGTCCATTAAAAGCTGTCAATTCAAAAACAAAGGTATTTGATTTCGCCTGAAGACGATGGTTGTAAACTGTTGAAAGTACTAGCGAGTATATCTGAAATTTAATAAATCGCTGTCAATAACGCCACAACATGGAAGTATCCTATATTTAAATTCATTTTAATTCAGTATAATAGTTAAAAAAGGTTAAGGCATAGAAATTTAATACAAATCAATGAAAAGAGATAACAAAAAAATTGTCTAATTATTAAAAACAAAGCATTTGTCTTTTATTACAATCTACAACATACTGATGAAACTGAATTCAAAATTAAAAATACATAATAATAAAATTAATATTAAATAAAGTACAGTATTCATATGAAATTATTTATTAGTTACTTTTTTGAAAGACGTTACTTGTTTTTCTTTGATTTACATTAAATACTAATGTATATCAATACAGCAATAATACAACTTAATAGCAGGCCTACAAAAGATCACTGGCAGTTGTTGGGATGCAAATTCAAAAATTGTAGACCTATAAATTCCCACTGTCTGTCTTTCTTTAATCTCAAGAATGGAGACAGATAGATGAAATTCAAGACCAGATATGGAAAGCTTAGGGACAGGAGGCCCTGATTAACTATATATGAATATACAATGCAAACCAGAAGTCACATTATTTCAATTCAAAACTTTTCTCCTGAAAGCAATTAATAGATGACGGCACGAATCCACTGCTAACAGAAAAGTTATAATGTCCAGGGACAAAACAGTACAATTTGAGATGGAGAGTGTATATTTTAAATTTAATTAATTAAAAATATCATTAAAAGTTGTCAATGTCACAATAAATAATTGATCATTATTATATAAAACTTTATAATTTCTAGAATTTGTACTCTTTGAAGTTGACTTTGGTTAATCAGTTATTTTGGATAATCAATAATCTGTATTATAATTTTAAAACACAATTTGTTTTAATCATTATTTGTAGAATATACAAAACTATACTTTGTAAATCAAGTTGGTGATATCATTATTAGTAATAAAATTTCATTTACCAGTATGTAAAATCAATTTCCTTTGTTGAGCTTCAAATGTGAGCTATCACAAAATAAGATTCTGCCTACAATAAGATAGAATAGTGGCTTTTTAACTAGCTGGAAAGCTTAATCTGTGTTTTAAAACTTATAACTAGTTTTTAAAAAAAAATACAATGTAAAGAAACCAAAGAATGATTATCTATATAGTTCTCTGTCTTAAAGATTTACAATTATTACATGGTTTAGTCTATCAAAATAAAACTTTAATCCCTCTTCAGACTGTGTTCACATAAAGTTATATTTAATTAATAGATGTCAGTATTTGTGTTCCAGTGTAATTCTTTAGTTACACTGATGGACACTGATGTATTAATATTAGTGTTGCAATGAATAGTATATTCGGCCTCAGGCCGAATACCAAATATTCAGCCAGGAGCGTGGCCGAATAGCCGAATATTCAGCCAAACTATTCGGCTCGCTTAACGTACGTACGAAAATTGGTGCGCAAACCTCATTATGGCAAGGACCCTGCTCTGTATTGGCCCGCTGTCACTACGTTTCGCCAATCGCGTTAATTCTTGACAGTTGTAGCGGACAGACAAGAGCGTCATGGCAGTATGTGATAAATGATGATATCAAATGTGAATAACAATAAGCTGCCTCAACTTGTTCGATTATGTTATCAACTGAATTTCATATTTATTTTCACATATTTACGGTCCTTCACGTGTAAATAACGGAAAAAGAACAGAGAAGGACCGTGAAAATATGAAAATAAATATGAAATTGAGTTGATAACATAATCGAACAAGTCGAGGCAGCTTATTGGCGCGAAATTCGCCGGTGTCAATGCCAAACAATTGTTGTCATAGACTTCGGAAAGCTAAATGCTTGTAATATTAATAAAAGTCACTTAGCGTGCACAGGCGAAAGCCTGGGGCTGTTCGAGCCAAGGGGCCAAGCTGTCTCGAATATGTGAAATCATAACTGTGACTTATACCAACATCCTATCTGTCTCTTTTCTCCGTTATCACTAGGCTATGAGTCACGTAATTGTAAAATGGGAAATCTACGATGGAAAAGTGACGAATCAAAAGTATAGTGAGGGCGTATTATGATGTATGCATAGGCATACATGGACTAGAGCGATAGAGGAAAGAGAAAGGGAAGAGCAAAGACGAGCGCTTAAAAAGAAGGATAGGCAGGGTTGGACCCTCAGATGTGCGACGATTCTCGAACGAATAGGTGTGTACGTGTGCTGATCTTTGTAATTATAAATTGTGAATACATGTGACTAATATTATTTTCTTTTTTATTTTGTGCATGTTACAAGTTATAAACAAATATAAACAAACACTAACCCGATAACTTTAAATCTAAATATCAAAATGATTAATTTACTGTGGTTTTGTTATTACTCCAGTTTTTAGGTATTCGGTATTCGGCCGAATAGTGATTAATATACGGTATTCGGCCGAATAGCGAAAAATAGGCCGAATACCGAATAGTAACCGAATATTCGTTACATCACTAATTAATATTTTATATTCAGTACAGTGGTCTGGAGATACTTGATGTATGCATTTAAAAAAGTAGATTTTTTTGTTGTAATGTTCATTGTACTTTTTTGAAAAAATTATATTTAATTTAATTTAAATATTTTTGTTACAGTATGAAAAATTACATAATTTATGTTTTTATAAAGATACTCTTACAAAAAAATAACTTTTACTGAATATTTGTATGTCAGAAAATTGTAGTAATACATTATAAATTTATAAATTTTAAATGTACTTGTATAGTATCAGTTTTTAAATATACCTTTATTTGAATACAGTCTGAAGAGGCTTTTATATTATAAAAAGCCAAATCATGTAGTTCTCACAAACATTTCAATAAGGATTGCTTAATCAAGATCTTCCATTATCTTTAAGACAGAAGATTATACAGATATTGTCAGAGATTATACTATTCTTTGGAAATATGGAAGATGAATATCATAAGATATTCATCTTCCATATTTCTATAGTGATTTGAAAGAAAATGTTGATTGTTTATTCATTATTATTATAAAAACTTGAAATACTATAAAAATTTAAAAAAGCAATACTATCCAAGTCCAATTCAATTATTCCAATCTTTTAAATAATTCTGTATTATTACTGTATGTAAGATTTACATTTTCGTATGCAAATATGAGGAGACTAGACTTGTTGGCCTAAGCAAATCTCAATATCTATTTGTGACACCCCTTGGTTAAAGGTTTGTTGCATGAGTCCCAATGGAGAGTGTCACGCATATTTAAATCTCTAAATATTTTAATTTATACATAATGTGATGAATACAATAGCTTCTTGATTGTGTATCAGACAGAGTTTACATAATACTCAATTAAACCTAAATATCATAAAACCCAAATGTCATCTGACTTTCCTGATGATAATTGGATGATGGATGTTGATTACAGAATTGGATTGGCAGTTGGCATGAATAGATAATAAAAGACTGAAGTCCTACATGGCCAACAGATAGAACAAAAAAGTTTATTTGATCTAGAAATAGAACAAAAAATATGTTAATGTATATGTAGACCTGACATTAATCTATAAAGCATTTCAAAAGTATTTGTCCAAACATTAAATAATTGTGCTGAAAGTGAAAAGATTGTGTGATATTTTCCAATTATTTTCCAGTTTAGATTTCCTTTTTCATACTTCTCTCTTTAATATTTTTGAATCTAAAGTGTAAAATTCAGTAAAAATATTACTATATTAAATTCAGAATGTTATAAGTTTAATTTACTTTTATTTTTATTAAACTTGTTTTAATACAAAAGAAAAATTTTCATATTTTAAGAAATCTTTAAAATATGTTAAAGTTAAAATAAATGTTAATCATTTTCTTTTTTAAAATGTTAAAAAGATAAATAAATGCTAAAGTATCAGAAAATTCTATAAAACTTGGTTCATTTTATAAGCAAAAAATACAAGACTTTAAGGACTTTAATTTAACACTTTAAGAATAAATATTTTTGGATTTTTATTTGGTGTATCCTGTGTTCACTCTAAATATTATTGAGAACTGAAGTTAGTCCAAAAAATATCTCTCCTTTATTTAAATTGTTGGTTTCCTTAAAATAGTTGTATTTTCTTCTTGATGCTAAATGATTCTTGAAATAAAATTATTCATTTATTTATTATTATTGAATTAAATATTAATAATTTATCATTTTGGAAAGTATCTTTCTAATGCCCGTTCTTTTTACAAAATATTTATAAATTTAATTTAAAATATTTCTAATTATATAGTTGTAAAATTGGCAATGTAATAATATACAGTGGAGTCCTGTACAATGTGAGGGGATAAGTTCTGCATTATAGGAAATCATGTTATTGATGCATGCATTATCAGATAATTTTATGCAAGTTTAAACCTAGGCCTAGAAATTAAAGTAAACTCTGGGCAACAAAATTAAAATTTTTTATGATTACTAGTAGCAATTTTTACATTGCATTATTTAAATATCCATTATAGGGAGCACATTATATGGGAGTTCACTGTATTGTATTTGTATTAGTGTTAACATATCATTAAGATCGCCATATATTTTCTAATTGTATGAGATTTTAAACTATATTTTCTGTTCAACATTTTTTAGAGTGAATGATATTATTCTTAAAGTAAATGAAAGTGATCTTGTTGATGTTCCTCATTCAATGGCTGTAGATGCTTTAAAGAGAGCAGGGAATACTGTAAATTTGGTAAGAATTCTTGCTAAATATATACATTATTCACTTTTGAATATTTAATTTTTATTAAACTTTTCATGCCAAATCATTTTATCTTCAATAGTTATCTACTTTCATTAGTACTTAATTTTTGCTTTCTGTTCAAATACTATATATATATAAAAATGCATAAAAAAGTAAGATTTATAAATACAGTATAAGAATTGCTTTAAGAATTTATATTATAAAAGATTATATTTATTTGGTACAGTTATTGTAAGAGTTTAGACATGTTTATTTCAGACTCAAAATTTCTATCCCTACTGTCAACCTTATAATAATAGGAAGTTTGATATATTTTTTTTTACTAAATAAATAATGACATGACAGATTAGATGGTCTTTTAAGAGACATGAAACATGAAAATTGCTCAGAGCTAAATTCAACTGAGTGCAAAATTTTTAAAAGATTTTCCAGCTGAAAATGTTACATTAAGTTCCAAGTCTGCTCTATTATCTATATCTTTTTTTATGTAGGATAATCATAAAATTACTTAGAACATCAGAGTATTTTTTTTTATTGATTCTGAAAAGCATTAAAACATATTAGCAATATAGATATGTTCCTGAGAAAAAAAATTTATCAGTAACACACTGTTAAGATTTCAAAAGGTAATTATCACCATTTTGCTAGTAGTTGGCACTGCCTTAAACTTTTTGCATAAAATGGAAACATGTCATTATGATGATTTGTTTACATTTTACACAAAGTTAATTTGTGAATTTAAGTGATAAAATGTATTATAACTTAAGAATTTTTTTTCTGTATAATCTTACAAATGAGAGCTTTATTTATTTGGATAGATTACTGAATTGTGAGATAGATTACCATGTTCAAACAAAATATATGCTTAAATAACTGTACAATTCCTTCTTATTCCAAAATTTGAACTGAAATGTTATGTATGAAATGAATTGAATTGTCAGTCAAAATCTATTAACAGTTTGCAGTGAATATAGAAAGGATATCCTATTTCAACAGGTTGAATAATGCCATTGCATATTTTCATTAAGAAAATATTTATTTTCTTAATGAAAATATATAATCTGAAAATAGATATTTCTGAAAATATCTATTTTCAGAAATTATTCAATTCAATTATGAAAATCAACATTGCATATATTGAAGAATTTATTCAAATAGACTGATGTTTAACTTTGTAATATATTTATGTCACTGTAATTTTTGATAATGTGTACAGCAAAGCTTATGACATTTGTCTTACACAGATACATGATACTATATATATCTCTGTCATGATAAGCTATATACTGCCATATAATAAATTGCAGTGACATAAATATATCACAAAGTTAAACATCAGTCTATTTGAATAAATTCTTCAATATATGCAATGTTGATTTTCATAACTGAATTGAATAATTTCTGAAAATAGATATTGCATATTTTCATTAAGAAAATATGCAATGGCATTATTCAACCTGTTGAAATAGGATATCCTTTCTATATTCACTGCAAACTGTTAATGGATTTTGACTGACAATTCAATTCATTTCATACATAACATTTCAGTTCAAATTTTGGAATAAGAAGGTACAGTTATTTAAGCATATATTTTGTTTGAACATGGTAATCTATCTCATAATTCAGTAATCTTTCCAAATAATAAATTTTCATTATTGATATTTTTTTATAAGTTATATGTATGCTTAAAATAAAATAGTCAAAACCACACTTAGCAGAAAGAATCATTACTAAATACCTTTGGTTGCTAAGAGATTTATTTGTTATGTACTAATGTTTTCAGCCTAATATATAGGCTATCCTCAGGTGACATATTTTTGTAACATCAGTTACAAACTGTTCTAAAATAGAATACAATAAATATAGAATATTAGAACATCAACTTTTAAATATTTGAATTTAAATGTAACATCTGTTTTTAATAATTCCAACATTAAAGTAATGTGAAAGTTGAAAATTCTAAGCAAATACACCTACGACTGCTGTAAATGATTGGGCTAAATTTTGGATATATGATTATAGATTAGAAATGAATTTGGCACTAGAGTGAGGCATTAGGCCAAATCTATATCAAATCTAATCTATAATCATATATCCAAAATTTAGCCCGATCATTTACGACAGTTGTAGGTGTATTTGCTTAAGATAGCGGGTTTCGATTGATGTGTATATTTAAAAATTCTAACATAAAAGCCAAATAAAATATGATAAAAAAAAATGGAATTGCAAATTTAAATACAAAAATATATCATAGTAAATAACATAACTGGAAGTTTCTATAAAGAAGCTTATTTTTTACAGTGAACTTTCATTCTGATGGTAAACTGTCCTAATCTCTTGCATTAATATATTTATCCTTCAACCTGCTCTTATATATTTCGATTTTTTCAGCATTTAGCACTAAGTTGGGGAATGTAAAGCCTTAACTATCTGCTTCATCTCATTTTACCAGGGAACCTTCTTCAGTTTGTGACATCTTTAATAGTACTATATTGCAAAAGCCCTTTTTTACACTTTATTGATGCTCTTTAAGTCGAACTCCCAGGTTTTTTTTTCTTTTTTGGTAACTCCAATATAATTCTTTTTATTTCTAATTACATGTTTTCCTAAGGCATATGGTACCACCTGCTTTCTCCTCTTTCTTTAACTTGTTTGTTGTTCCTCAATATACTATAAATATTTGGCATCCTTTTGGAAATTATTTTAGTCTTTATGGTCTGCCATTTCTTTCATAATATTCTTCATGTTCTTATTAAAAGTAAACTTTGTGATTGTTATTGAGTCTGTTCATTTACTACAATATATTTTTGTATTTAAATTTGCAATTCCAATTTTATTTTTTATCTTATTTTGTTTCATGTCACTTTTATGTTTAAATTATTGGAAATAGATGTTACATTTATATTCAAATATTTAAAAGCTAATGTTTTATAAATGTGTCTCAGCAACCAAATGATGATTTTAGAAAATTACTTATTTATACTGAAATTAATCATCTTTATAAAATTGATCACTGAAAAGAATTTATGTAGAAAAAATTTGTTCATATTAACATTATCAGATAAAAAATAGCATTTGATTAGGCTTAGTCATCAGAAAATTAGATAAATTAGAGAAATTCATAATTCTATGGAAAATCAAATTATTTCATATAAAGAATAATGACAAATGATAATTTGCATTAGTAATTTTCATAGTGTCTCATCATTTTAAATTTCTGTAAATCAATTTAAAATAAATTACCATTTCAATTATGTAGATACTTCAGTGTGAAAGTGATCTTGAAAGATAGTTCTCCTTCACTTATAAGTCACTTAAACAAACGGATACTTTGAATATTCTTCGTGAAAGGCATAATAATCAAAAGACAATTTTTTAGTGTAGAATGAACATATATTAAAAAGGAAAAAAGGAAAAACTGTCAAAGGAGGCAAAATATTTAATTTGATTAAGCACTTTTCATGATTTTACCATCTCATCTTAAGATCATCTACATTTGACATTATAGAACAACTGTAACCAGTTGTTCTATTCAAATTGTCATATACAGTATATAATTTTGAGTGTTAAAGGTTTTATAATTTTTCACTATATAGAATATAAGCTTATAATATAATATATTGTTATTTAAAATAATTCATATCATTAACTTAGNTATCCGAAATATCAGTTATACGAACAACCCCAGTCCCCAATTGATTCGGAAAATCGACGCTCTACTGTATCTATATTGGAACTACCACCAGAATGATACGGTCCTGCATCTTCGAACATCAAGAGGACATTAGAAATAACAGACCAGCTACAGAATTAGCGAAAAAGGTTCTAGACCAAGATTATCTTCCACTTTGGAACCACATTAAATATTTAAGCATTGCAAAGATCGTAGGTAAATATTCATATGGGAGAACCTTTACATATCTGCTGCTTTGCCATGTAATGCGCCGACATTGGAAATACCACAGCTATGGATAACTTTATTTAAACAATCCAAGTTATAATTTTTTGATCTGATTTTATTCTATGTTTTGGGGAGTTCAAGTTATTACAGCACATTTCTTTAAAAATATTTATTTATTCAATTTTTATTGTTTAGTTCTATATTCCAACCACATGCATTACATAATTTGAAAAGTCCATTAAAAGCTGTCAATTCAAAAACAAAGGTATTTGATTTCGCCTGAAGACGATGGTTGTAAACTGTTGAAAGTACTAGCGAGTATATCTGAAATTTAATAAATCGCTGTCAATAACGCCACAACATGGAAGTATCCTATATTTAAATTCATTTTAATTCAGTATAATAGTTAAAAAAGGTTAAGGCATAGAAATTTAATACAAATCAATGAAAAGAGATAACAAAAAAATTGTCTAATTATTAAAAACAAAGCATTTGTCTTTTATTACAATCTACAACATACTGATGAAACTGAATTCAAAATTAAAAATACATAATAATAAAATTAATATTAAATAAAGTACAGTATTCATATGAAATTATTTATTAGTTACTTTTTTGAAAGACGTTACTTGTTTTTCTTTGATTTACATTAAATACTAATGTATATCAATACAGCAATAATACAACTTAATAGCAGGCCTACAAAAGATCACTGGCAGTTGTTGGGATGCAAATTCAAAAATTGTAGACCTATAAATTCCCACTGTCTGTCTTTCTTTAATCTCAAGAATGGAGACAGATAGATGAAATTCAAGACCAGATATGGAAAGCTTAGGGACAGGAGGCCCTGATTAACTATATATGAATATACAATGCAAACCAGAAGTCACATTATTTCAATTCAAAACTTTTCTCCTGAAAGCAATTAATAGATGACGGCACGAATCCACTGCTAACAGAAAAGTTATAATGTCCAGGGACAAAACAGTACAATTTGAGATGGAGAGTGTATATTTTAAATTTAATTAATTAAAAATATCATTAAAAGTTGTCAATGTCACAATAAATAATTGATCATTATTATATA